CATGGCCGAGCACATACAAAACCGCGAGGGCTACCCAATGGTCCGTGACAATGCTCTATCGAGCATCACGGACGTGAATTTACTTGGACAGCCCATCACCAGACCGGACTGGAATGACTTGTGCCAATTGCACATTAAGGACGACCAACTTGACGTCGTCAAATATCTGGCCCAGTTTGTCCTACCGGACGCGAACGCCAGTTTTATCATTGCAGCTTGCAGAGCGGCCATAGAAATCCCATGCAAGCCAGCCGATCACAAGGATGACCCAGAAACGCAAAAATACTCCTATAACGGCACGATGATACGCATCTTTGCCTCCAGACTTGGTCATCTACACTGCCATTGGGAACTGGAAGTTGCCTACCGGCAAGGGAAAATCGTCCCTCGGCTGTTGACCCAAGTGGCTCTCCTGGGAAACCAGATCCACGAGATTGAAGCGGGAGTCAAAATTCAAAGCGCCCTGAACATTTACAGGAACCGCTCTAAAGATTACCGCTATAAACAGCCATCGGACTTCGATGACGGTGCGGAAGCGTTCGTTAACCGAACGGCGACCAGGAAACTTCCAACGAAGTTCCGTACCCAACGATCCTCAACAGGATCGTCTGCACACGTCCAAACCCAGGCCACACAACCTGGCCAAGAAGCTCAGCCGACCAGCACCTCCAGCCAACAACAAGTAAACCAGACCGAACAGGAGTTGGCGGACATGGAAGAAAGCGTCATCGACCCACTCAATCCCGGATTGGGTGATGGCGACCAAGCCGGACAAGGAGGGCAGGGATAGGCCAACGGCCATTCCTGCATGTTGGCCCTAAACAGGGACCAACATCAGCTGGACCGGACTTGAACACCATGATGGGTGCAATCTAACGGTTGTTACCCTCGCCCAACAAACGTGGCTTACGGCCATGTACCGTCTACCTCACCGGACCTAAATCCCTGGATCTTAACCGGATTCCCCGGATAGGCTCTGGCTTAGCGGCTGGGACCATGAATTTGGCTCGGCCATCCCAGACCATCCGACGGAGTCCACCGGACCGAACTTGGCACAACGCCTAAGTTCACCGGCATGGAAAGGATCCAGCGCCCAGAAGGTGGCGACGGCCCGCAAATAAGTTGCGACAAGCCGTGGATCAGCCTGGCCCGCATACAAGTTGCGACAAGCCAAGGCCAAGTCCTGGCCCATAGAAATTGGACCAGGCCCACTATGCGTCTAACCGACCATAGTTGGCTCACGAGTCTAGTTGCCACACCAGGCGACTGGGACAAGTGAGTTCGGGAGCCACATAGAAGTTGTGGTATACCCATTTTGCATGCCATGTCCATCATCCTCACCACGGACCGCCCAGAGGCCCATCTAAAAGATGCACCGCCCCGAGGCCAAACGAGGATGCTTCTAGTCAGCAGACCGACTCCTTTGTGGAAAACGCCTACCGGCGTCCACAACTTAATTTTTTGGAGTTTGGCCCGGCCAACCTGATGTTTTCGTCAGACGCCACTTAATTTTGTTATGGCCACGGTCTCAGCGAAACCTACCTGACTCATCGGACATGGTAGCCAACTCATGGCCCACGGCCAGTGAGACGGACCAACTTTGGCCCGCCATCAACCTTGGACCGTCGAAAAAACGACTAAGTCCTTTTGGCCCGCCATACACCTTGGACCGTCGAAAAATCGACTAAGTCTTTTGGCCCGTCCAATGACGTGGCCCACCGAAAATTTTCTAAGTCTTTTGGCCCGTCCAACGACGCGGCCACTGGAAAATCGACTAAGTTTTTTGGCCCGTCCAATGACGTGGCGCATCAAAAAACGACTAAGTCCACATCGGAGAGCCAAAACCGGTTATACAGGACCCATACCCCTCCAAAGGCTGGAAGCAAGGCCATACCATTCCGGAACCCTGTATCCCGGTCCAGAGCATGTCAGAGACCAAGTTTGGACCGCCCCAACGGGTTTGGTCCATTACACCACTTGGTCCTCGGACTTAGAAATTTTTCCATTATGGCCCTCCTGGACTTAGAAGATTTTTGGACCTAGGTGCATGACCAAACCGGCATGCAAGGCCAAAACCGGTCCAAGTTAGAGACCCATATGGGCCATCCAAACGGAATTGGTCCAAGCATACCATTTTGGATAGCAGGAGCACCCCTCCCGCTCAGAGGCATCATTTAAAAGCCTTTATGACCACCCTAACGGGTTTGGTCCATTTCACTACAGGAGCACCTCTCCTGTCCAGAGACATCACTCTGGCCCACCATGGACCGCCCAACCGGGCTTGGTCCACCACAATCAGGAAGGGGACAACTTGTCCTTGCGCATGCAACTGTGCCTTCCTCATACAACTCCGCTGGAATTACTTCACTGGACCCTTGTGGACATCTCTGGGAACCGTCGCCCCGGATTCACAGGACCAGACATATCCTACCGGATAAAGCGGACCGTTGACTAGGACCCCTGTGGACAAAAGCGGCCCTGTGGTATACCTAGTCGGAATAAGCCTTTTGTTTCGTCTAGTTTTTAACCAAACCTGGTTTTTCTAGACTTTATTAACCAAAGATGATGTTTTTATTTAGCCATTTAACCAAAGGAATTGGCTTTGGGATCTCTAACTATGATCTTACTTTCTTTAATTCTCACCGGAATTGTGATCTTTTTTATTTCGATGTTTAACATATGAGCCTTATAAACTTTATTCTTTTTACTTGTTCGACCAACCAAGCCTTCAAACCCCACTGGAACCCCCAGCAACCAGAGTGCACTCCAGATTTCGGCCGTTCGGTGCACTGCACCGCGGGTCTGGAGGAAGCGACCCTACCGGGTTTAGAGACAAAGTGGCATCCGGCCCTACCGGGTATCGGATCCTGGCACCCTACCGGGTCGGCCAGGGGCAGAGTCGGAAGGTGCTCGCAGGAGCTCCCACTCCCGCCCAGAGGCATGTCAGAGACCGCTCACTCGAGGCGGTAGACACCTCTTGTGGCTTTGCTCTGTCGCCCGCCCGCACATGGCTACTCCATTCGTGCCGCGCTATTACGCTGCTTACTCAGCGTACACTTTGTCTACGCTGACCAATCAGCGCATTTCTCTGCACTCTTGGGGGTGGAGCCCTGCGCCTACGGGCGATTCCATGCTTTGCAGCATCAGCTGTTGCATACCCGCAGCACGCGGAATCATTAATCACGATTCCTCACCAGCGCACTGCAGGCACTTTTTCCAGCTTTTCCCGCATTGGGTTTTCTGTTGGTTTTTGTGTTGTTGCTTTATTGTTATCACAATAAAGGCTGTATTTGCCCCATTTCTTCCTGCTTCTGTGTCTGATCTGACAGAATAATATTGCAATCCAACTTTCGAAATGCAACACAGTTTTAAACAAACACGGCAGTCGCGTATAATTTGGCACAGTGCTAGAACCGAAATACTAATCTCGGAAAGAGGATTAATTTAAACCAGAATGATAGTTCAACTGGTTAAGTTATTTTCGGTCTCCATAGAATTCTTTATACGGACGATCGAGCCGCAATCAAAACGAAAATAAATAGATTGTAGTCGCCATAAGGCTACGATAGACGGTAAACGATGTACGGTGAGTGCCGACCGCATCAGAAGTGCACCGGCAAGTGCTTTGTGTTGTCGCAGGCGTCTGCGGTCGTACGGTATACGATCACCTTTCAAGATGTTTTTATTTTTTTCCATCTCAGTTTTTAAATGATTTTGCAACACGCTTTTCAGCTCAAACGCATGCAAATCTTCTCAGGTTAAAATGCGATTTTTTATTATTGCTAACTTACTGAGGACAGGAAGAATAGATAGAAAACAGTTTGCGGCGTTAAGACTCCTAAAAAACAGACAGGATGATGCCTATTTTCGTGAGAAACAAGAGAATTGGGTCGAAGAGCCATTTGATCTCGACCGATTTTCGGACGTGGACTGTTGGCGGATGTTTCGAACGAGAAAAGACGACATAGACCGCCTGCGAATTGCTTTACGTATTCCCGATGTCGTTCGAACTTCGTACCGAGATAAATGCAGTGGAATCGAAGCGCTGTGTGTTCTGTTACGGAGGATGTCGTATCCTAATCGGTGGTGTGATCTTCGGGGGATTTTTGGACGATCTAGTGGATCGTTGAACCGAATTTTTTATCACACTTTGAAAATAGTTGACTCGTGCTGGTCATGGCTCTTATCTGATCTTGACCAGCCTTGGCTTACTCAGGGTGATTTCGATGAGTTCTCTCGTGCTATCACAAGTAAAGGCGGAGTTTATCCAGGAGTCATTGGATTCATTGACGGAACAGCAAGAGAGATATGCCGGCCGAAAAGACACCAGAGAATTATGTACAGCGGCCATAAGAGATTTCATTGTACGAAATGGCAGTCTGTTCTTTTTCCAAACGGTAAGTAAATACTTCACATTTTTGTTGAAATACATTTTACATTTGCATATCAGTAGCACACAAACACTACCGCGGATCTTTTAAACATTCGTTCGCTTTAATATAGGTATGATCGGAAATTTATTTGGAGGAAAGGAAGGTTCGATGCACGACAGCAAAATGTTTGCTGAAAGTAATCTCTTGCAGCATTTTCGCGAGAAACAGGCAAATTTTAACCAGAAATACTATCTCTACGGCGATTCGGGTTATGGGCGTAAGGATTTACTAATCAAGCCATTCTCTCAAACGGAAGCATCTAATAACCCACTGAAAAACGAACTAAATGAAGCGATGTCCAGAGTGAGAGAGTCGGTGGAGTGGGGATTTAAAGAAGTTGTAAAAGAATTTGCCTTTGTTGATTACAGGAAACAAATGAAAATTTTTGAGAAGCCGGTTAATAAGATTTTTCGAGTAGCCGTATTGCTGGTTAACTGCCGAAATTGTTTGTATCCGAATCAAGCGAGTCAGTACTTTGATTTAGAGCCACCCATTTTAGAAGAATATTTGCGAGAATAAAGTAAGAGTATTTTTAATTTTGTTATTGTTTCGCATTTGAAAAAGTATTTATAGCCCAAAATTTTTGTCCGACAATTTATCGTTCTCCAGTTTTTTAAGTTCTACTTGAAGACGCAGTTTTTCCACTTCCAGTTCTTTAAGGCGAATCTCTTTGGCATCTTCCGCAGTTTTTGTTTTGATCGCGAGTTCGTCAGCAGCCCTTTTCTTTTCAAATTCTAGTCGTTCTGCGTCAGAATTCTTAAAATAATCCAGCCATTTGTCGTCAGATTCGGCGTGTTGCGAACGAGCAGCGTTCGAGCGGGAGGTTCGAAGCTTTTTATCCTCCGCTTTCTTGGGAGATTTACCCAGCCGGAACTTGCGTGGCGACATTTTCCGCTTTTTCGAAAAACTAATTTGTGAATTTTCGCGGGATTTCACCTCGTCTTCCCAGTCTCGCTCATCGCCACCTGTTTCTTTCATCCAGTCGTCTTTATTCAATGTTGCCGACGAAGTCGCTGCACCTGATGATCAAGGTAAATAAAATACAGCAAGCAAAACAATTGCGAGTGGTTATAATGATATGGAGAATAAATCTGCCGATAATTAAAAAAAATAATTTATTTGGAAATGAATAAGATAAAAATCATAAAATGGCAAAAAATATCCGCACTTAAAATCTTTAATGTACGCAAGATTAATATTTTTAAATACTGAAGTTATTGCAGTTTACCAGTAGCTAGTTGGAGGTGATCTTCTTCGTCCGTGGGAATGTTGCGACCGTGTTCACCTGCAGCTTTCATAACCTTCGATATCTCCTGGCGTTCTTTCTGAGCTTCCGTGGCTGCGCGCTTTTTCTCCGCTTCTGCTTCTTCACATCCTTTGATGAGCTCGCACAACTCTGTGAGAAGAGCTTCCATTTTTCCGTACTGTTCTTCTGTTCCGCTACGGCTTTTGTTGCGTAAGTCTTGTGCCTTAAACCAGGCTACCAGGTTCGCAAAGCGCTCCTTCACGCCTCTGTCAGTAACAGGCTTCACGAAAATCTGCAATGTTGTAAACGTAGCTTTACGCAGTGATACACAGATGAACGCTTGCACGTCATGGCAATCAAGGCTAAAATTACCTTCGTTTCATTAAGCGCACGCACAACATCTTTCCATGCAGCAGTTTTGTTGTCGGAAACGTAGGGATTGTAGTGTTTAATCAAATCCAGAAGTGCCAAATCGGATGTTGCGTTAAATCGACATTTCACAGGTCGCACATTGGGGATCTCTGCAGCTGATTCACCCGTAACAGCATCCATCGCGAAGGCTCCACAGACACAATTAATTACCGAAAATATATTTTCGAAGGCCGCTAGTTCAGCAGATTTCTTGAACATACAACGAAAAAAACATAAAACACTATTATCAGGAACTTCAACGAAGTAGAGAACTTCCACAAAAATTCAGAAAATGCTTTGTTCACATTACACAGCAAAGTATGGGAATCTATAAACAACCAATTAGAATTCTTGATTTCGTTGGATCGAGCAGAACGCACATTCACGTACATATCGCCGAAGGCGGCTGCAGTTTCGCAGGTTCAGACGTTACGCCCACAGAAACGATACGATAGGATCACCACTTACCGTCTTACTTATCGTCAAACGGTCCGATAAGGGTACGCCGTTATGACGTGCAAGAGCCTACCGTATATCGTACCGTCTATCGTAGGCTCTTTTTTGCGTGCGACTACAATCTAATAAACAAAAGAAAGCGGTCGCTCAAACCCGCTGTACTCTGTATTGCTTACACGAGGCAACAAACAATAATCGCAGCACTGCGGTATTTCAGTTAAAAAGCAGAACAACAAAAACTTCGATTGAAAACGGGACTTGTTTACACAGATGAGGCGTCTGTTTTAGAAGGGAACAACTGTTCCCGCGACCGTTGCTGACGATGCAACGGATACTGCCAGCGTAACTCAATGGTCGTCCTTTCAATCTGTTTCATCTATCTGAAGGTATTGGCTTTCTGCTCGCATACAGTGGCGGCAGGAGTGCGGCTTCCGGATCGCCTGCACAAGTAAACGGCATGCCAACAACAAGATGCCGGTCAGCAGCAGCAACAAGCCGGGCAGTTGGAGGGGTACCGGCAGGAAAACCTCTACCAGCATTGTCGGCAGATATGAGCACCACAAGTAGGGACTAAGGGCAATTAGCGGGTACAGCACGCATTCGCCCCACGATGCGCACACACAAAAGTGCAATTCCCGGCTGATCGCTCGGGCTCCAAGAAATATGCTATCCACCGCCGACATGTAATCTTCTTCGGACATGGTCGAACGCTCCTTACTGAGGTTCTTTAGTTGGGTCATCGTCCATTTCATGGCTTCTGGAAAGACGCCCCCGCAAAAGGCATGGAATTTCGCCATATTGAATACGTGCATCGGCCGTGGGTACGCGTCATCTCTGAATTTATCAGTGCACTCGTTGCGTTACATTATTCTTATGTACAGTAGCTCCTGCCTTTCTCAATACTCAACCCACAAATTGTAGATAAATTCAAGCACAGAAATAGAAGCATCTGTATAAATTCAGGTACCGAAATTCAGGCATGTAATTCAGATTCAGCTGCAATACCGATTAATAAATCGTATGTAAGTAAGTGGTTTAATCGATTAGCCATGTTAACTGTTCTGACCAGCTCGTCATAAGCACAAATTTACTGGGTAGTTCCATCAGAAACTGGTCACGCGATTTCTAATCTTAATCTAATTGTTAGCTGTGGTTATTTCTTTCTAGCTTACGCAGCGATTTTAAAATTTAACGTCCAACAAACTGAATCTGTTTCGGTAATTAAACCGTAATTTCCGGGTCTGGTACATGCAAGTTATCGCTGTTTGAGCAACCTTACATATTTTCTTTTCAACCTGCACAGGTATAAGCCGGACATTCTAATTTGCCGATTAAAGATGCTCTAAAAGCATCGTTTTAAACCTTTAATAACATCACGGTAAACCGAAGCTGTATTCGTAAATTTTGCAGTACTTAGTAAACAAACCGATACAAACTGTATACCTTGCTTCCTCTTCTTCCGCATTCCTATTTGATCGGCTGACGGTCGGGGTTAAAGTTCTTTTCCAGCCGTCAAAAAATGTGCTTCCAGGAACATGATAGCGATGAATCCGCCAAATGTGCACATGATAACCCAAGGTACGCCACTAAGGACCAGTACTGTCCCGCTCCAGACCAACGGCCATCCAACTATGCGTACAGCAACCAACAGAGACCAGGGGAGGAAGAAGTGGAGCTGGTATCATTGCCGGAGACGAGTTGTTCGGATGCTTGGCATGCCCAGTACGACAGCATAGCGGCTCCTGGGTTATACATCTTAAACATGAGGGCCACCTTAATTGCATCAGTTTAACTACTTTTTCGGGTTTCATATGTATTGTTTTAGAGATATCCGAAGTCGGCTAAACTGAATTTCTTATGTTATTGAATTTCTTATGGTAAATTGGTAATATGTTTCTCAAGTAATATGTTAGACTTTTTAGGCTTTCTTAAGTTTGTGTATTCCTGCTTATTTTATCGTAATACCTTTTATAAGTAAGAGTGACCTTCAAAGTTCAAAGGTACCTGAAAGTTCTTCGGGCTTTGCCATCTTTTTAAACTTGATACTTTTATCATGCCAATTTTTATAAAGTGCTGTGCTCTGTTTCTTACTGTGGAGACTTCGCAGCTGCACCCACAGCATTCAGCTTCCGGTTTCTCCGTAACAGTAAAAACGTTGGCCCAGTTCTCGAATCGATCCGCTGTTCCAGTGGCCGACATGGAGAAACTTTGCGCATATCGGCCACACCTACATTGTAACGATTATAAAGAGGAAAAACGCTGCTCCCAACTGCATCAGCGATATCATACTCCGTTCTTGCAAACGCGGACTGCGAAGTTTCTTCTGGAACGATGACGGTAGTGGAGGGGATTCGGCTTCTTTCATGCGTTCGGCGCGAAAGATCGTCCAGCCGCAGGCCTCGCTGCAACGTACGTGCATTAATCTAACTGATCGTGAGCTATCCAATTTTATACAAATATCTCCATAAATGTGATTATTATGTATTTTGGCTTAAGAAAAATTCCACCATTTAACTGACAAAATCGACCTTCAAATTGGTAAAAAGTCTTGCTTTTATTTACCATCAGTATTGAGTACTTCACCTGATGTCGTCATTAATGCACGATAAATAGGTTTTCTGTGTCCACAATCCCCAAATTCTGCCCGTCGAATGGACGCAGAAAAAGCAGGCGGCATACATACGATACGGAAATACACTTCCTGAGCCGAAAACACTGATAATCAGCTGGCTCAAAAGTAACTCTGACAACAATATCGGCATCTTCGCCATGAAGTAATGTAACAGCACCAAACAGAACCAAATGCCACTGCCGATTGACCATTAGCGAGCAGGCCAAGGAAGTGGCCAATATGGTCGCCAGACCGGAAGTGATGCAGGCGGCGATGAAGCCCATTGACGTTGCTGCCGGTTTTACACGAGCTGTGCGCATCAACTCGTCCGCCGGCTCCCGGGAAATGTTGATTGATTGTGTTTCCGTCGAATTAAGCCGATCCCGACGGATTTATTGAACGTTTTATTGGACAATTCTAAACCATGGTCCCTTGAAATCTTAAAAGAGTACACTTTCTAGATTGCAATATTTTATCACCAAGTTCATATGTTCGAAAGGGAATCTCCAGAAATTCTAGTGATAGGGACTGATGCGCTAAATGTAGCTTGCCCCATATAACATACGTATTTTATCAATTTTCAAGACATAATTTTTTCTCGAAAGTTGCACAATTCTTAAGAGTGAAACCAAATAATATTCATCCAAAATTGTATTATTTAGCATCAACATCTATCAAAATTAAGAGCACGGCTTGGGCATAGCACACGTCAACGTGGTCTAATCATACTGTATAATGATAATACTATTAAAAAAGTAAAATCTGAAATTACTACTCTATAGTACCTACTAAGTCGGATTGCTGAGACGTTGTATTCAATGTCGTGAGCTCGCTTACTTCCATGCAACTGGACTGTCGTTCCGGGAAGACCCGAAAACCGGAACTAAGGCATACGAAGTAAGCAAAGAAGATGCGAAAAAAACACGATTCCATCAAGGTTTCCTGATATACCCAGTCCACATCTCGACGGAGGTAACGATGGATGGTTTTGCAGAACTTCACCATGATCGCAACAGTTTGTGAGAAAATTAATACAAGAATGGTTAGCGCAATTTAAGCAAACTTCGCTACTGAGTAACGTGAAAAACAGCAGCGTCTAATCTAGAGCAGCTACGGATACCTGCGTTCCCCATTAACAGTTCCGATATTCGACCGAGAGGCTAGGCTGTCCATGCCATCGATCGAAGCAGTAATCGACCGCCAACTGCTGTATTTAAGTAGGTACAGTATAACCGTATATGCGCAGTTGCCGGATGCATTCCAACAATACTGAATAGCAATATCACTGCGATTGCGGAAAACTCATGTGTCTATAGGTGACCCGCCATTTCGTCGACAAAAATTCGTCGATCATCAATAATCGAAGCAGTAATCGACCGCCAACTGCTGTACTTCAAGTAGGTATATGCACAGTTGCCGGATGCATTCCGACAATACTGAATAGCAATATCACTGCGATTGCGGAAAACTCATATGTGTCTATAGGTGACCCGCCATTTCGTCGACAAAAATTCGTCGACCGTCACTTCGTCGAACACGCACAATGTCGACCCGTCACGACGTCGAACTAACGTTTAACCAAATCATCTCAGTTTTCTTAGGTTTCTTTGGTTTCTTAGGTTTTTCAGGTTTTTTAGGTATTTTAGGCTTTTAAGTTTCATAGTTTTCTTAGGGTTTCTTAGGTTTTCTGGTCGTCGCCCTCGTGACGGTCGACGAAATGCGGTCGACATTATGTCGGTCGACATTGGTATAGGTCAATTGCATTTGGGTAACCGATGCGCGTCGGGTAACGGAGAAACGGGTAAAAATCTGTCCATGACTCAGCGAAAAAAATATCGTCCAATCGTAAGGCGAGTACGCTTCCGTGCCAAGAAAGAAATTGAACAACGGAAAAACTGAAGTGGAACTGAAAAATCTGTTTTTGATGCTTTAATGCGGCAAAACGTCAAAAAAGTTGATTCTGAGTTTGGAAGTGTCAATCTGGGTCGCTGGATGCACTTTTGGTTCAAAAAACAAAAATTTTGTTGATCTGGGCAGGAGAGTTACGAGTTACTCGTAGTTTGGGTAACGGTTGCGCTTCGACGTCGAAGCGCAACGGTTACGCGGACGGGTAAGCTGAAAACCCATCCCAGAATTCTGGTTTACCAATCAAATCGTTTACCTGCTTACGCGCCGTGACGTCATGTTTTTTTACCCGACTGCCGCTTGCGCGTCGCGTAATGCTTACCCAGAGCAATTGACCTATGCCATTATACGTAGAATGTCTTTGGTATAGAAGACGGAGATTACTGAGCAAATTCTCCTCCCGTCCGCAATTTTGCAAAAAATATTTTTTACGACCCGTTAATAAAAAAAGTTTGTTGCAGCAATAGCGAAAATAGTTAAACCCAATACAGGTAACATTATTATTACATGCATTTTAGGATTCGTATCCAGAAATCTGTGTACAACGTGTACGATTTCGGTCGCTAACATTTGGGCCCGGCTGGAGTGTTAACCTTAACATTCTCGCCTGGCACACAGGTTAATGCGTTAACCGTCAACATACGTATTGACTGTTATGCCGGCTACATACGAGCGACTGATTTCACGTGTTCAGGAGGAAGATACCGTTCTCCAGCAACCTTGCTTACGAGGTGCTCGTGTTGTACGAGTACCGGTGCATCAATCAGGCAGGATTTTATATTATGGAGAGCGAAAACTCGTACATTCCAGCAGTTGCGTTGCCGCTCGACTGCCGCTGGGATCGATGGCATAGACAGCCTAGCCTCTCGGTCGAATACCGGAATTTATCGAAAACGCAGGAGTCGCGCAAACCTCGCTATTCCAGATTAGACCCCAAATTTTTTCACATTATTCAGTGGTTTCATCACTTTGAACTGCTCAAACAATTCTTATTTTAATTTTTAGCTTATTCTTGAGAACGCAGGAACCTGTTGCTACTCTAGATTGGACCCTGAAGTTTTTCACTTTAACCACTGCATTTATTTTTTTCGAACTGCGCTCACCAGTTTTGTTTTAATTTTCTCAAGAACTGTCGCGATCATGGTGAAGTTCTACAAGACCATCCAACCTTTCATCCGTCAAGATCTGACTGAGCCTGGAGCAGCGATTGCATTAGGCGAGATGTTAATGCTTAAACATTAAGGAAGGGACCGTGAGAAAGTCATGCTGTTATCTGGTACTTCTGGACTTTTCATAGTTTGCGTGAAATACTGCCGAATGAACATGAATGTATGTTGGTAAGGTAAACATTACGTTTTTCGAAGAAAACAACATTAAATTTCGCACCCGTTCCTTGCAGTGATTTGCACCGCAGCGTCTTGCTTTGAAACATTATTACGTAAGCAACTACAGTCTATAGACAACAGACTATCACGCAAAAAGATGATAAGCATTTACACCTGATTCGTAGATTCATTTGTGGAGGCGAATGATTTGTGATGCAATGGCGTGGAAACCGTTTTTGCGCGAACCATCCGGTTGAGAAGTTCTGGCTGCAAGAAAATTCTAACAGTGCATGAACGCATTCAAGTGTTCCAGCAACAAAAGTTTCATTACGTACCGGTCTATACCGGTAGAACGGCTCAAGCATTACTTTCTAATTCTAAAATGAATAATTGGTATTTTTTACAATTCATTTTAATTAATTCATTTTAATTTCGAAAATTCAGACTTTCGAAATTCATTTAAACTTGGAAAGTATTGTGTTAGAGCTGTGATTCACTGTAAGAATAATATTCATACTAATGGGCGCTTACATGCAAAATTTGCAGACCGATACATAAGGGGACTCTAGCGGCGTGAGTACAGCTTAGGACAAAATGGTCGCATACCCAAGACATCCACATTCAGTACGTATGCAGCGCAGTGTGCTGTACGACTGAGTTTAAAATATCCGGTTCGTACAAGTGCATTGCGCCGCATGCGCACAGAATGCTGGGTGTGGGGTTATGCGACCATTTAGTCCTACATTGTATTGTGAGCGGGGGTTCACTAGCGTTCACGTCCGCAACGCTGCGCCACATGGATTACGTGTCTGTGTTGTGTCTCGCTTCTGATTGGCTTGAGTTGTGTCAGTGGGCGCGGCATAGCACGTGCTGCACACTGTAGAATTGGCTCTACGATTGACAATCGAGCTGCGCCGATTAGTGTTGATTTTCTGTTGTCGGAATTTTTCAATATTAATAAAGTTAGCAATTAGCGGTGCGACGTCTTGCGTTTCCGCATAGCTCGCAATACATATCGCATTGCTCGCTCCACGGGATCTATTCCGTTTAGGTCGCCGTATCTGGATCACAGTCGGATCTAGCATTAGATGGTAGCAGAGCGTGGTTCGAAAAATTGATTGGTGCCATTTTTGCTCGCTCCACGGGATCTATTCCGTTTAGGTCGCCGTATCTGGATCACAGTCGGATCTAGCATTAGATGGTAGCAGAGCCGACAGCGGTTCTCTGATTTGAATTGATCTGATTTGATTTGACTGGTGTCAGGCAAAGTTGGCCTGTTATTTGACGTGTTCACCGTGACCAGTAAGGCACAGGTCTGTTTAACAGCAAAGCGCAACACCACAAGCGGTGCAATTCCCAATCGGACGCGGATTTCCAGCTTCGGTTTTCGGTACGGTATCTTCAGCGAAGAACCGTGCTGTTTCCTTAGCTGTGCAAGAGTTCAAGAGTTCAGTCGTCAGTGTTCCTCGGTGTAGAGTCTTCAGCGAAGACCTACACTGGTGTCACTGATACTCGGCAAGGATTTGCAAACAATTGACAGGAGCGTCTAAGTTATCCGATCATCATGGACAAAGATAATGTGGAACCGACATCTAACAGCAGCCAGGGAAGCAGGAGCTCCCGCGGATCAAAGCAATTTGCAATCGATCCCTATAAGAAGGAATATAAATCGCTCGCGCGCCCAGTCGGACATGACCGACAGACTCGAGCGGCTATGACCTTTGCAAGGAAAGACAGCAAAGGCAGCGAGGGCACATATCAGGTGGCGCTCGGAGCAACACAGAGTGAAGAAAGCTCCAGCGGTGACAGGAAGAGAACTCCCGCGTCTGCGGCGGGAGGTGAACCGATGAACCAGACAAAGGTCACCGGGGAGGATGAAACCACAGAAAAGACAGCGGAAGCAGTGGGAGCATCCCAATTGGATGCTACCATCAGCGGAATCAATGAGCAGGATAAAAATGCGAACCCGGCTCAGATGGAAGTTGAAAAGACAAAGGTCACCGAAGAGGAACTTGCTGAACTGGGATTGGATGACCCTTCATTGAATGACAAAACGGCAGACGATGACCTTTGGGCAACTCCAATGGTCTCAGACGAATCCAATGAATCGTATTTCACGGATGATGAAACAACGATGAATATGTCCTTCCAGTCCGCGATGAGACAAGCCGACTGTGCTGAAGGGATGAAACCTTTCAAGGAAATACCTGAACACCTCATCGAGCGGATACAGACTGGAAAGGTCATAAACGTACGGCCACCTTCACCGACCAGTCCTACGGTGACACTGAGGAGACGTGTTCAAGATTTAGAAGGCGAACTCGGTGCTAAAGAAGACCAGATGACCAAAAGAAAGCAGGAATACCAAGAGAGACTAGTATCACTCGAGACCCGCTTATTTGAGATGGAACAACAACGGGGTTATCTGGAGAGCGCGGCAGAGGAATGGAAAGTGAAATATGAAAAACAAAGGGAAATGGCAGAAGAATATTTGAAAATGGTAGATGACAGAGAAATGGAAGGTCATCTTGCGGTCAGTGAGTTGAACGAGAGCATGTCCGAGGAGTCAGCCGAAAGGTCACGGCACATAACAGAATTGAAGGACGAATGTGACTCACTGAAACAAAAGGTCACTGAAGCGGAAGCTAAAAGAGACGAATATGCGAATAAACTGGCGGAGGCTACCCAGCGACTGTTAACAAACACCACTGAAGTGTTCAAGCTCAGGACTGACCTGAAGCTTCGAGACGAGAATATTGGAACCCTCCAGAAAGAATCACAGGAGCATCAGAGAAGAGCCGATGACGCCGTTAAAGTGGCTAAAGATCTGAGAGACCTCACAGCTACCGAAGGCGCACGGCTGAGCAACGAAATTAAACAGGTGAAGGAAGAGAACCAGATGTTGAAAGAAGATAACAGAAAGGTCACCGCAGAGAACATTGAATTGAAAGAAGCCGCTAAGATAATCGCCGAACAAGGCATGAGGTGGGAGCACGAGGCACACCTCCTAGACACAAAGGTCACAGCGCTTGAACTGAAAGACAAAGAATGGCAACAGATTGTCCACCAGAAGACACAAGAAATCATCAAACTCAACGCCGAGTTGATCGATATGACCCAAACGGTAATGACGGGAGAAGATGAGGTCACCCAAACAAAACACCAGCTCAAAGTAGCAGCTGAAGAATATACGAAATTGGAAAGAGATGTGACCCAGTTGGTGGAGCATATAAAAAAAGTGGAAAACGACACTGAAAAGGTCATTCAGGAGAAAACGTTCCAATTACACCAGCACATGATGAAGGTCAAGGAAGAGAACCAGAACTTGAAAACCGAGAAGGAAGAATTCCAGCTGAAAGTCAGACGCCTCGAAGATGAGAATAAGGCGCTCAACATGTCCAATAAGCATAAAGATGAACAGCTCCTGCAATATGGAGTTCGGACGGCAACGGTGGAGTCACCACCGCCCAGTTACAGTAAAGCACATGAAACGGGCACGGGCAAAAGCTTCCACTTTGAGATGCCGTTGCGAACTGGCACCGGCAGAGGAAGTGTCAAAAACGAAAAGGACGGCGAAAAGGTCAAAGACGACAAAGAGCCACCATCAGGAGGTTACCCGCATACGAGTCACGGCAAACCCCCCAATTTCCCCCGCATATTGAAACAAATGTGTATATTGACGAAGGGATCAGAGACAGACCATCCAGCCGGCAACAACGCCCACGGAAATCTCGTTATGCGAAGCCGAAGCGGAATCAAAGTGACGACGAAAGTGGCGAAGAGGAAGAGGACCAGAAAGCGCAATCGGGATTTGCATTAGCAAAGGCGCTCAACTCCATGGCTCGGAAAACGCCACTCGTGACCTTTGATGGCAGTCGCGACACTGTGAATGGTTGGACAAGACTGGTAAAAGATACACAGAGAACTTACCAGCTCACCGACGATCAAATCATGATCGAAATAGCCAGCGCGGTGAAAGGTCCTGCCAAAACCTGGTTCGAAAGCGAAAAAGACATTGCATCAGAAGATGGAATTGAATATTCAGTGACAGAATGGATGGAAAAGTTTAAAGATGAGTATGGGGACCGAGATGAAGAAGTCTTAGGCTTACGTGAGGCCTACGCAAGGAAATTCAAACTTGGAAAAGAATCGCTCGACCAGTATTATCAGGCAATGATGCGGTTTAAAGCAAAACGGATCATCACGGAAAAACAAGCAGTGGGCTTCTTAATCGAAGGATGCAGAGTGGATAACGAACTTTACAAGGCATTGCCTACACAAAAGTGCAGGACGCCAACAGACGTTAAGGACTTTTTCCGCCATTGGGCAACGGGAGAAGATAAATACAAGGCGCCTAAAGGTCAACGTAACCAAGATTACGCGACGATTCGATCAGGCCAAGTCGAAAACGTGCCGCAACAGAGAATGGCAGCTGTACCAGTCCAACAGCCGGTTGAATACCGTGTGGAGACTCCGGTCAGAGAGGTCACAGAAAAGTTGACCTTTATCGACGGTCAGACGGGACAACCGATAACGTACGCAATGGTAGCGGCAATACAAGCGGCGGCTCAAGCGAGACCGGCACCCCAGAATGTGACTCAACCGATACCACAGAACGTGGCCCCTTTGAATACTGGGTTACCACAACAAGGAATGGGTAACGGAAACTTGGGCGGAAACGGATACGGAAACGGAAATTGGAATGGAGGTCAGGGGAACTTCCAGAATCAGGGACAAGGTCAAGGTTACTTTCAACCAAACAGAGGGAACCAGAATAACTTTCAGCAGAATCAAGGGTCACGGACGGAATTTAAGTTTCAAATGATCGACGGATGGGTTGCAAATGGCGCGCAGATGTGCCAATACTGTATGTATGGCAACCATCAGACCCAGGGATGCAAGTTTGCGAACACGCCGCCGGATCAGAACCCGAATTTGTTCGCCTTTAGAGAGTGGCAACGGCTGCGCAATGCGGGCGGTTGGCGACAAGCAGTGGCAAACGGATATGACCTGATCGCTCAATGGTATCAGGCCAAAGCGAACTTTCAGCAAGGAAACGGAAATTATGGAAATGGAAACGGAAATGGCGGCCAAGGCGGTGGCAATCGTGGCGGCTACCGCGGCGGCTTCAGAGGAAGGAACAGAGGAAGGAACAGAGTCCTCATTCAGATGATGAAGCACGTGGTGTCCAAAAGGTGCGGTCGAAGAAAACGCATGGATCCGCATTAAAGTGGGCACAAATGATGACCACCTGGCATACACATACTCAGTGGACGGGAAATTGCTGACGAAAGAGAGAATTCGGCCGAAACCGACAGCAGACCCAGACCCGAATAAACGAACATTAGACGATTACGAGTCGACCCTGAAATATACCGATGGAACGTGCAGAAAAGTGACACTGACACTCCACTTCGGCGATGGAACAACGGATTGCTTAACCGCAGTAATTGTCGACCCGATCACAGGAGATCCGATTCCATACGCCCCATGGGATATGTCAGAAGAGAGCGCCGAGCACGCCAATCGGACAGCACTAGAACAGCTGGGGAACTTGATACCAGTAAGTGAACGTCAGGATCCTTTAGTTCAAGCGAACACGCTGATCAGCATGATGCGACATGGAGCGGAGATAGACGAAGCTCATTTCCGACTCACAAGAAAAATGGAAAACGGAGCGTACAAGACGGTGTTCTATGACGCGAAGAATAACCCTCTGTGGGAGATCGTCACACAGGCACCGGCTAAAGAAACACCACATTTGGAAATCCAGGCCCAAGACCCGGCACAAGAAAGTGGAGCCGGAGAGATGGCAGAGGCCTCCGTAGCCGAAGCGGCATCAACGGAGAGTACCCGGCGACCATCGAAACAGGATGATTCAGAAGAGGAGGAAGCTGGTGACGATTCGGCAGAAGAACCGGCCGATGAAGATAAGGAACTGGATGAGGAAGATAATCAGCCTCCAAAAGTGGTCATTAAACCGAGGAAAACGGCTAAATTGGATGAAGCTATGAACCGTGAGAAGGCCAAGAAAGGTGACTTCCTAAAGAAACGAAAGGAAGAAGAAGATAAGAAGAGAAAGAGCGGTGATGAAAGTGAGAGCTCAAGCATCGGGAAAAAGAAGGAGGAGAGACGGAAGAAAGATAAACCGCCGTCCCACGATGTCGAAATACTGGAGGAATCAGTCGCCGAAGTTGAAGAAAGGTCATCCACACCTATAATCCCAAAGAAATTTGTCATCGAATCGGCTACATCGAAGTTAAAGGTCACCGAACCTGAGCCGTCAACATCTAAAGGAAAGGTCATAGCTGTGAAACAGATTGTTCCAATCGTCATCTCGGCATCTACTACGAAAGAGCGTAGGGAGAAAGGAACGCGCGAGAAGGCAAAACGAGAGACGTCTCGCGAATCGGAAGCGTCGGAAGTGAGCTTACCAAGCACCTCAACGGTTAGCACGAGATCACATACGGACCCAAAAACGACTCGATCGAGAACTACAGAACCGAGAAGCCTAGCGGAGGCTCTGGAAAGAGGGAAAAAAGCAAAGAGCGAACCCACAAAGCCGAAAAAGAAAGGAAAAGAGGCCAGGAAAATCGATGCATTGGCGATGGCTAATTACACCGAACCGGATGGAGAAAGTGAACTTGATTATTCAGGAGATGAAGCAGAATTTGAAGATCCAGACAGTGATAATATGACCACGATTGACGAAATTATTGATGCGTTCAACGGAGCTGAGAAGAACTTTACACGAATAAGAACCACATCAGTAACGTCGAAATTCAGAACGGGCTTAAAGAAATATCTGAGGAAGGAAATGCACCGTAGTTTTACCAAACAGAAGTTCGACGTGGTATTGGAATACGCTCGGAATGCGGGAAAACTTCTCCAGAAACACCCGAATTTCGCGTATAAGGCTAAGTTATTCAGACCGTCCAGTTCGGATAAGGCGCTGACGACTCCAAATGAAGATACCTCAATGCGAGTAGAAAGGGCAATCGCGGAAATGACAAGCCCGATGGGGTCAACGAGTCACCGGATCAGCCAATACATCAACGCTGTTTGGAATGACGGAAAAGGATTGATAAAGGAAATCGACACAGCCACTGAACGCGCGTTGCCAAGGATGATAAAACAGAATATCCTTTCCACAACGAACGCACATAAAGGATATCCGATCCGATACACGAGAGTGGGCCTGATACCGCCGGAAAAACAAGGCCACTGTAATATGTCCGACAGTCAGGAGACGGAAAAGGTGCCACTGAGTGGAGACCCGACAACTCCCATACTGAATCGGATCGCACAGTTAACAGCTGAAGAAGAAGCCGCCCAGGCTTCTTCTAAGAAAGCAACGAAAAAGAAAGGACCGATGGACGTGGAATCGGAGGAGAGTGATGACCACACCTCTGCTGTCCTAACGCCTCTGGAACCGGTGACAGAAAAGTCTAAAGGTCAAGAGACACCTGTAACTGCGACGGAAGAAACTCAACCGAAAGGTCACGGGACTTCAGAAAAAGGGGAGAAAGAAAAGGTCATGCTCCCAATGGACAAGGCAGCGACAGAAGCAGAAGCTGCATCTGCGCGACAGGTGTACCAGAAATCATTGTTCGCACCATTGAAGGAGGCTTTTGAGAAAGAGCGGTCGAAGTCAGCAGGTGAAGTGGGAGGTCACGAGACTTTGCCACAGAAAGAGAAAACCGATGAACCGAAATCCGCTCAGTCATCATCTAGTTCGTTGGCAAAACTGAGGATCGATGAAACGGAGACAACTGACCCAACGGACTCGGCACTATCCCCCCAGAAAACGGAGACTAGCGGTATAAAAACAAAAGAGCCGACAAATTACACGCTAGGCGCACCGTTGGATGTAACTAACCGGACATGGAGCGAAGTTCAAGCGGCGCTTCAGTACATCAGAGAAGGCCAAATGCTCGGCCCAGACTTGAAGAGACGAGTCGCTGAAAATTCGAACGGGAGGTCATCACTCAGTATGACCGAGCGAGTCCTGAAACGAGCATATAAGGAAGGGAAACTGGGATGTAAATACGACAAAGACAACAAGATCATCTACTACCTTCCGAAACAGGGCCAGGATCGCACGCCCAGACTGAAAATGGAGCTAGACGTCTGGAAGATAGCCATCACAGATGTGGCTTTAGACGCCATTGGCGGTACCAATGGAGCGTCATGGAATGACCTTTCGAACTTCATGGCCGTCCATTATGAATTGGGAGAACTGAATATTGAGAACGATAAAGAATGGATTAAGAATGCCGTTGAAGCGTTGATCGCAGACGAAGTGCTTCATATTAACCAGGATGGCTGAGTTGACTTCAAGCCGTATAAACCGCCGGCAAAGGAGTCTGAGTGAATGGGACGAGTGTAATAGGCAGCGAGTAATGAACCCTGCTTATTACAGAAAAGCATAAAATAGTTAAAAACGAATGAGAAAAGTTTTGCGGAAAAATGAAAGTGAAAAGGTCAACCCGAGAAGTAGCGGCGATAAGGCTAATAGAAAGGTCACAGTAGTCAGAAAGCGCTGATAACATGAGAAAGGTCAACACGTTATAGCGATAGAGAGGGATGCAGGAGCTAGGAAAGTCTCAGCTCAGTAACGGAGCAGGCGTAAAAACGATAGAAAAGCCTTGATAATGGATAAGAATGGAAAACGATTTACGCGGAAAGGTTACTATGACGGATTGTTTTAATTGCAGATATAAAACGGAAAGATGGCACAGAAAGGTCAAGCCAATCGACGAAGTCAGGGAACACATCCAACGGACGTCGATCAGTCTACGGGCTATAACGCAAGGTGTCCGGACTGCTTACGCAACAACAGAAAAGTCGATAAGAAGTTCCCGTGCTACACATGTGTTCACAAGTTGAGAGACCCACACATCGTTTCACTCGTGGGACTTATGGAAGCTAAACGGGGGAACATGGATGTTTTTCGAAACCTCATCAGCGCGAGGAATTACGGCAGTATCCCAGTAGAAGAGCGAATGCTACTTGAGGATCGTTACCGAGAAACAATCCAGAACAATGAAAGCGGTTGGGACGAGACTTTGGAGCCGCTGAAATGCCCGCAAACGGACGCATACCGTAAGAAGTTTGAGGAGGAACAAGAGAAGATGCGACGTCAGAAAATGGAAGATGAACTCCGGGCGAAGATCAATGCGGCGAATCAAAAGGCGAGCGAACAGGCTGCACGAGAGGCGATACCCAGCCCATCAAACTCAGCCGTACCCTCAGCGAGTTTCAAGGAAGATGAAGCCCAGTTGATACGTCAGTCCCTTATAATCCAGATTGATACGCTGACAAGCGATCCGGCCGCTATGCAACAGGAATTATTTGATGCGCTGCTGCGGGAAAAGTTGAGACTGCAGAAGGGTTTTGCTCCAGCACCATACATAAAGAAGGCAGTTGAAGAACGCATGGAGGAGCTGCGTAAATCCCGTCAGAACGAGAGCAATGTCCTACAGGCGCTCAGAGGACTCAGACGAGATGATGGGTTCACACGACCTCGCTCGCCTCCGCATAGAGAAAGGTCACGCGGACATTCACGGGAACATGAACGAACCTCTGAAAGACGAACCGAAAGGTCACGTGAACACTCCCGGAAAAGGACACGGGATTACCGCAGCGAAAGGTCACGCGAACGTTCTCATGACAGAGATTACCGTGGCGGAAGAGGATGGGTGCGCCATGGAAACGAGATAACCGAAACGAGTATTCAGCGGAAAATCGATACAGCAAAGATTTTAGCAGCGACCAGAGAACGAGAAGAACAACGGCGTGCGGAGGCATTCCGCACTGAGCCTGAAAAGGAAGGTCATCAGGTGCCGTTGGGAGTTGCGTTCCGTAATCGTAATGTCAGAATGTCAACACCCGAAAGGTCATGGGACAAGAGACGTGAGCGTACGCGGAATCGCACGCCAGACCCACAGGAAAAAAGATGGCAGGAGAGAGCCAAGTACTATGCGAGTTTCGAATCTGGCGCAAGCAAAAGGTCATCGAGCGCGGAACGGGAAGATTCACCTCCAAAGTATCAGAGGATGGAATCGACAGTTCACGTAGTAGATCCCATCGCGAGTGTGGTACAGGAAGATGACCCGATGGAAGGAGCCAGTTCAGTCGCAGAAGCGTCCCAGGAGAACGTGATACACCGAAGAAACGTGGTCCTTGACAGTGACCTCCAACCGTCCACATCGACGGGTAACGAACACCACAGAGCGGACGTCGTGAACAAGAGGGTCAGCGCGAACCGGATGAACGCGACCGGCGAACAACTTCCCGATTCGATAACCGACACCCTGATACTATCGACATGGAATACCATATGAACGACACTGATGAACAAAAGACGGAAATCTGTCGATACATGGGGATCGAAGATGACTCAGCGGAGGCGAATAAGATTCACACGATTCTGAATCAGCTTCGCCAATTTTTACTCGATTCTGGGTACGCTAGAGAGATTAAGAGGGGAGTGGAAGAAGGAACCTTCCGTCGGCTATACATTCCTCGTGACTCTGCGCGAGATTGTTATCTCCCCATCCGACGAAATGGCTTACACAGTTTGCTGGATTTGAGCCTATTGGATGTGCCATTGGACACGACTGACCCAGTCGGGATGACACAATTTTATTACACAGACTATGATGAACGACAGGAATATGTGGCTCAGTTCGTTTTACGGCATGTGAATCCGGCCTTCAAGTTGCTTGCAGCTAGAGCATCGATCGGATTACAGGTGGATCCGAAAGACTATGCCGCAAAAAGGATGGGGCAAAAGGTATTTGCTGCGAGACTGGCACATTATAAGACACAGAACCAATTGGTGTCTAATACAATGAAGGACGACAGCCCGCCATTTTTCCGACCTCATGTAGTTAACCCACCAACGCCGGGTACCAGAAGGAGTGGGAATACTGATTCGAAAATTGGTATTCCTCGATCAAATAATTCAATTAAGAAAAATAATTTTTTGTGGAATTTTTGTGACCATAGGTCAAGCAGAGAACCACGATGCCAAAATGGCACGCATGGGAACTGTGCCAAAAGGCACAGTACAGTTTAATGTAAATAGCAATTAACAGAAAAATCGCATCGAAACTTGGTGTAACTTAAATAAAAGACCTCAAAAAGCGTTATGCAACTGAATGAGACGAATGGTCAGCAAGATGACCAGTGGTCAGCACAAATAAAAAATGACCTAAACCACCTATCTGAGCTGGCATACCGTGAACACGACATAAAATGCTGCGCATACTGCCAAAAACCAATTTGACACCCAGGTATCTAGGAAAACAGCATCAGGCACAGTATGCAAGCGGTAGAACAAGTTAAGTCGAAGGGAGCACGTACTACAACAAACTTTGTGGTGCTTCAGCCGGTCTCAATGTTGCAGAAATGCTTGCAGTACAATGCGCTATTTTCGACTACGACTGCCATAAACTCGGTCGGAAGCTATCGACAACGTGCAAGAACTTATTAACGTACCCTGCGACCGGCAACCAGGCCACAAACTGGACAGCACTCAGTACTGTATAGGGACGTGTCCACTCCAAGTAGCAGTTTTGGCAGACTAGATTTACAATTAGGTTTTATTATTATTAACCCGGATCAACAATCTGCACACAATCCACTAATACTGTGACAGCAAAACCGGTTGCAGAAATTGACAATAATCGTGAACTGACCGGACGTCTTCGTATATGCGGTGTTGAACGCTTTTGAGTTTTCTGCTAGCGTTTACCTGTTTTGTACACTTCCTGTTCAAGCTCTGCAATTTTTTTTAATTATATAAGCAGGCCGGATTACAGTAAGCGGCATGCTCCTAATAAACGTTAAGAGTAACAAAACTTTTTCACAAATTCACGTAAGTTCATGAGAAGCTGAAAACACAAGCGAGTTACACAGCAACATCTACAAACACAGGCGGGCGAATAACAGAAAAGATTTCGTCTAGCTCTGCAAAGTATGCTCACTATGCAGTACAGATAAAACGCGCCATAATTCAATATCTGCGAGCAACAGACATCATATAAGCGGTTTAAAGGCTCAAGCTGTCTGCCTACCGGTCATGCTCGCGCCATATCCGATACGACATTAGAAACCATCTAAGAAAAGTTTGATTTTATATCTTTACTGCACATTTTTGGATATCAAAGCTGAGCGCTGAAAAATCTAGGAAACAGCTTTTATAAGCAATGTTTTTGTCGAATACAGCATCATTTTCAGTACTGATATACAAATACTACTTAATAGTAAGTAATTTTTCCGATTTTTTTACCCTGGGTGACCAGTGGTCACTTCGATGACACTTCGATGACCACTAAGTCATCTTCGTTAAAACGAGCTGATTTAGTGTGGTTTTTTGATTGTTCGTGACAATCTTTACCTTACTGCAGTAATTTTATGCAGAATTTTAAAATTTCGGCATACAATAGCATCAAACCCATGCGTGTCAAATCTGGCACAGATTTTTTTAAGGACCGTAGACGGACGGTGTCCACCCATGCATGTATGACTTGCTCATTTTTTGACGAGGTTCTACGCAAACTTGCCGTGTGTTTTTTTGCATAATTTTCTGATGCAAGAGTCTTTGGGCCGGGAGCTGAGACCTCGGCGAACCCTTTCGGCTCGGTTTTGGTGAACTTCAGGCGCCCACTGGTCTCTACCAGTACTGGATTGTTTGGTGTTTAACTTTTTAAAATGTTTCTCAACATCTCTGGTTTACAATAAAATCGTGCAGACGTCTCATATTGCATGTTCTTCGGCTACAGAAAGCGAAGCTCGCCACTGTGCCAATTGGCATGCATGGTGTCGACCGGGTTAAGTTGGGAGAGCCTATGGAACATGTCGGAATAGCCCACACGGCTCGGAAGGCGTTGAAGAAGTGTAGGACACGAATGGAAAAGGGCAATCTTACACGGCGCCATACCTCCCAAGTGGAAGAGAGGATCAATCGGATCAAAGATACTATGGGGAGCGACTACGTTGAACCAGTGGACGGAGTAGACGTCTACGTTAACGAATTTCTGGTCAACAAAGGCGACCGACGCCCAGAACGCGCTCCTAACCAAATAGGACGGCGTGGCTTGCGAAATCAGCAGCTCCGCGATAATCTCGCTGATGTGCAACGGCGATTGGCGGACGACCCTAATAACCGCAGACTGCAGTTAGAAGAGAACGATGCACGCCATAAAGTTGAGGCGATTAAGCGCAGCCGTCAAGGAAAAGGTCGTGGTCAGCGCGAAGTAGACCCAGAAAAGGTCATGGCAGTTGATTCAACGGAACCAATTGACCGAACGTCTGACCGTA